TTACTATAGTATACTACTACTACGTTACTATATACTACCAACCAACGTAATAGACTACACAAATAAAAAATAATACATATAAAGAAGGGAGGGGGGGGGAGGGAGAGAGAGAGAGAGTAGATACCTTTGATCAAATGTGTATGATATATTCGGTTTCCAGGAAGTCCCATAGATGGCATTCTAAATGCAGCAGGAATAAATGTTAACATAATATATAGACATAATCTAGCAATGACAGTCCCAATCAGTTCCAGGATGACATTTTTTTTGTTTTTTTTGGGGGCAGATATTACTGACCCTTTAATGACAGATTCTACAGCACTGGATAATTTGGATACTATTGTGGAGGATCATTCAACTTTGAAAGACTGTAAAAATTCAATGTTGCAATATTAGTAATAATGCTATCCATTACGTTTTAAATTATACCAATTTTTATTTATACAGGGCTGGTTGAACATACACCATGTTGTGTTGTTTGCAGGTTGTAGCAAGGTGTGTGTTACTTTGCTTTTGGAAGAAACTGACATTTTCACAGTGAGCATTACTATAATTTATGTATATATTATTTTTCATAAAATCTTTACAATAATTTTGATATAGCATTTTGCTAAGTACATGTAACTGCATTGTATGTATAAGATCTTGCATGTTAAAAAGGAGAATCCCAACTGACTGTCAAGACTAGCTTTATGGTATGCTCTTACACAAGGATGTATGACTGTACTCATAGTGGATCAGCCTTAGGAATAGTACATTTTTAATGATGTTCTACATTATCATAACCATTCAAAATTGTATTAAATTTCATTTTCATTAAATGTTGAAATTTCCTTCAAGTGGAAATACAATTCAAATTATTGTTGTTTTATAATTTTAAATAAAGTATAAAGGGGAAAGAAAACCCAGAGTGTAAATCTGATACACATTACCTATGCAGAATAAATCATCAAAAATTCCAATTGTAAACAGAGTAGAAATGTGAAGACAGACAAACTTAATGCTTGTTTTTCACAACTAAAAAACCAGTGGGGGCACCAAGATGAAACTTCTAAAATCTGATTACAACCACAAAAGTAATGATCAATAATACTGCTTTTAGATTTGATAGAACAATGAGGAGTGTGTTGAAATGCCAAGTTTTGTTACATACTATCTCAGTAATCTCTTCTGAAAGTTGGCTAAATGCGTGTATTGAGAAAATCAAAATAGAATCAGTGATACAGAACTGAAAGACTGTTTCAAAGAAAGAAAAAAAGACAAAAAGAAAGCAAGAATTAGAAATAAGCTTGCCCCACTTATAAACAAAGCACAAAGTTTTCATGTATGTGGTCTAGGCAGAATCCAAATAAGATATGTAGGATTTTCTTATAAGATGGAGCTTATCTTGCCATCTGTATACCCCAAGAGAGAGAGAACAAACTTGAAGATAGAGATTGTGAAAGCAGTCAAAATATAAAAGAATATTGGCAGAAGGAAAACCTAATCAACACCAATTTGTGTTTCTAAATATTCAGTAATTAACAAAGTGATGAAACAAAACTGTTATAAGGAAGACTGAATGAAATTATAACAACAACAACAACAAAAAGAAGCTTTAAGCTAGTGAATGTGACTACAAAAAAAATAATAATTAGAAGACTGTATAATAATAGTATTCCAACCATACTATATTTGTTATATCCATTGCCAATGATGCATTTCACTAAATTCAAATCTTTAAAGAAGAATAGTTAACTATTCGAAAGTGCTCAAATTTTGGGTCTTGTTTAAAATTCACTGTTCATTTCTTTTGACCTAAAAGTAAGCAAAAACAATCCATTCTGCTTTGATGTGAAAAAATATTCTGTTTGTGACACAATTATCCAATAATCAAAAGAATTATAAATTTAATTTATCTGTTAGATTACAGAAATATTTCAAACACTATTTCTCTGTTAAAACATTACTACCATTAAGAATGTGAGTATTTAGAACTACGTAATTATTATGTTATTCAAGCAACTTCTACATGCAATTAACATTTTAAATATAATTATGTTCCGATATATTTTTAAAAGTGAACCCTGTTACTTACAATAAGTGGAACCTGAAATTGTAAAATTAACATTATTTCAGTACATTTTATCACTACACTGTTTTTATACTGATAACTTGGTTGTATGGGATGGTAGAATATGCATTCTAAACTAAATTAAAATGAATATGCATTGCCACATATGCTAAATGACAAAATATAAGTACTAAATTAACTGCTACATCAATAAACATGCTACACATCCATGAACACTAAATTGAAAAATAGATAAAACTATCTTAGTTTTTATTCCTTGAGTAAATCTAGCGAGATAAGAGAATATTATTTACCTTGTTTGTTCCTTGTGTTTGATTCTCACGTAATATTTCTATACATGTTCTCAGAGCCATAAGTGATGCATTGATGTTGCCTACGAAAGCAAAAATATCTAAATACAAACTGTAATATCCTATAAGTATCAAAAAATAATTCTAACAACCCTGCAATCTATCATTAAAATTTTTTTTAACACTTATTTTTTTAAAGCACCTATTCTAATGTCAACTGGTAAAATAAATTTTTGTTAAAAGTAAGAACTAAATATGTTAAACAAAGAAAGGCAAATTTTATTCTGGTAGGTCTTATACCAAACAATTTTCTACCCTACTGTTTCCCAATATTATATAAATTTCAGGTATTAATATAGATTGCTTTGCTTCTGCAAAATACTTGGCTTCATTGCTGCCCTTCTAATATGTAGAATTTGTTCTTGATTTTTACACAGACTGCTCTCAAACTTGCTATCCATTGTGAATCCCCATTTTATTGCACTATAATACATATTCATGCAAAAATACACAATTAACAACACAAAATGGCTAATTCAGGAAAGGACTCCTTAAGCAATAAAGTGGAAAATTCTATTGTCTAAAGAATTAGTAAACATTACTACTCAATTCATTTTTTTTTTAGAAATTAGAGAGATTAAAAAAATACAAGCTCAGATTTATATGTACTACTTCAACATCACTTCTGTATATTTATTTCAAACCTTACATAAATCAGTTTAATCCTTTCCGGGCCAGAGGAGTGTCATTGATATCACTTGTTTTTTATTTTCTCATAGTGAAAATACATAACCAAACTACATGAAACTTAGTACAAACTTAATAGTACTAGTTTTGGCTTAAAACATTCATATAATTCAATCTATATTTTCAATCATTTTTGAAATTATCACAAATATATTACGTGAAACTATTTTTAAAAAATTAAAAATACTAAGAATTTAATTTAATTTAAGCACAGTAAAGTACCCAAGACTGGAAAAGGTTAAAGTAGAAAGTGTAGACAAAAAAAGTTTGGTTTGGAAACAAATCAAACTTACCTGATGTCTTGTCAGAGAAAAAGATTTACATAGCTTTCAAATAGATATAATTTAACATACAAACATTTTCTGAAACAAAAAGAAAATCATTTAAAGTTATATATATATAAAAAAATTCCAGATCTGTTGTTTATTCCCAAGGCTTCTAAACCTCCCATAAAGTTTAAATGGCCAGGTGCTACAGATATCAGGCTATCATGTAATTTGTATGGTTTATTTTGCTGAATTGAAAAACAAAAACTACTGAATGAAACAGATTGAAACTTATGATGAATTTTCTAAAGATTATGTAGCTTTTGCATATAAAAACCTTACTTGTCTATAATAATGAAAGGCCGTGGGTGTGACCCCCATAACTCCAAGAGGAAAGAACCTAGCACCTGAAATTTTGCACACATACTAGGTGGCTCCTAAGGGTGTGCACCTGTGTATTTTTACTTATCCATGTGTGTCTGTCTTTTTAATGAAGCAAGCTAGCGAAAAACCACATAGAAAAGAAGCAGTTTCTTATATAACAATTTCTAATATATAGAAAATCCAGTGCATTTTGGTAACAATGTGTTCTAACAATGGCTTTTATGACATGTTGCTTAGCAACAAAAGTATATAGGTTATGCTTTTATACTAAAATGGGTTCAGAATACACACACTATCAACATAATAACCCGAGCGAAGCTGGATACTTTTACTAGTATATGCAATACTTGTATCAATTTGCAGCTTTTAGAATCCAAAAATATTTCATTGTAAAAAGTTTTTAAAAAACAACAATTCCCTACCTTTGTTTTATATATATATATTTCCATTACCAACTTTTATACCTTCCTGAATTCTTGTAAAACTTATCTATAAAGTTTGATTTTTAAAGCTGGTGTACAATAAAAATAACTATCAGAAAAATTATAAGCAAACTGTCTTTTCTTTAAATTGTTAATAAGAAAGTCTCAGGTAATATGTTTAAAACATATTTCATATTTATTTATATACATATTTTTTACACTTCTTTTCAGCAACTTTGTCAACTCAAGCATTTATTTAGACCTTGCAAGTAGCCACTTTGTCAGTAAAATGAAATTTGATATGTTCAAGTGCAAAATGATTAATTAAGCCTACCCCATATTGTTCCAAGAAAAACATTTATCATATTCCAACAGCATAATTCAAATGAAATGCAAAATATAAAACAAGCTCTTTACAAGCCTTAGAATTTAAAAAATAGAACTGTAATTGTGGTGAAGGTTGTTTAAAAATATCTTTTTTTGTACTAACACATCATCAAACTAAGCTTTTATCATTTTGTGCCAATCTCTGTATGGGTTTGAAGTGGAAAAAAAGGTTTCATTACATGCTTCAATAACTAGCCTATATTTTCTCAAAGCTGAAATATAAGCAATTACATCACACTGTGACAATGAAGGTTGAGAAACAATGATTAGCTACAATCAATAAAACACACTGAAGTGCAAGGTTCAAATTAGTGCTATTTTGTTCATAAAAAATTAAAGAAATGCACAAATACTAATGTTTTCTTTTAGAGTATGCAAAAATCAACCCAAAATAAAAACTTTCATGAATTTTTTTCAATTTCTATGTACAAAATTAAATAAAACTTTCTTATTGAATAAATTTCAAAGAACTATTTTTTCAATTGTGTAGGAGAATGATGACAAGTTTATTTCCTATAATTTTTATAATTCAATGGTGCAATTTTGCCCTTAGGACAGGATGCATCCATCCAAATGCCATAGAATTATTTCATCATTGCAGAAGCTCCATCTAGTCACTCACTCATAAAACCATAAAATAATGATCACTGCTTTATTCATTCTACATTAACAAATAGTTTTGTAACTGTATTATCGAATGGTATTTAAATTTTTCCTACAGCTGTGTTTTATTAGTAACTAGGAAAATATACATCCTATATTCAATAAAAGTATTAATTAACACTGTAACTTGTGTACACTTTGCTTTAGTTTAGTTAGGTTAAACTTTGTCGTACTTAATACTATCAATATGAATAAACTTATAATGTTATTCTATGACCTAACTTTAGACCTTTTTAAAAACTTTGATAAGCTATTGATATGTTGTTGTATAAAATGTCCAATAAAGTATGCTTACATCTGCCTTTCGTTTACTTCTATTGAAATGAAGTGCACTTGCATGTGGATTTAGATAGTAAGATGCACGCACATTTTCAGGACAGACAAAAACGGAGTATTATTATAATAGATTGTTGATTTACATGCTGTGACATCATTAAAGGGTAGGAACAGATAGCTGTAATAATAAAACATCAAACACAAAAGGAAAATTGCTTAAGAAATAAGACATGAATAATCATGTTCCCAAAGGATGATAGTTTCTAAGCAAATATAAACCTTTACTTTGGGAATGGCACAAAAATAAATCTATGAATGCATTGTTACGTGCAAGATTTCTCAAGATGTGTAGAAATAAAACTTTGAAAAATATTTTTTTTCTTGTGAATTACACTAAATAAGTAATGATAAAATATCAATTCTAAAATTACAAAATTTAATATGCAGGTGTGCACTAAGCACCTGAAAAGTGCTCTTCAGTCCTAAGAGGGTTAGTTAATCCAATCAACAGAAGTGGAGAGCAAAGTTTATATGGTATTACGTATTTGATGTCAGTTTTCTAATATTTTACTCTGTATTGCTGATTAAGCATAATTAATAGAAGAGTGGAGATACCAAGTAAAATATATGGAGATACTAAAAAAAACAAGATATGCATTTTGGAGGTTCTAGAGGTTATACAAACGCAAACTGTATGATGAACAACAGTAGTCATTGTATTCTTCACATAAATATCACCTTGCACTTCGACATATCAGAGTCAAAGTCAGACTGATGTCCCCAATTCACAGACACATCTTGAGGAGTACAAATACGAGGCCTGTGAAAAAAGTATCCGACCTTTGGTCGGGGAATAAAAACTGGCATACCTGGAGCATTGGAAACCTAATCACCCTCAAAGTAGTCTCCTTGGGACTCCACACACTTCTTTCAGCAGTGCCGCCATTGTTGGAAGCATTCCGAGAAAGCCTCTTTCGAAATG